CCCCAAAACCCCAAAACCCCAAAACCCCATTTCGACCAAAAGTTGATTTTTTTGCATTAAAAATGTGGGATTTTGACTGGGGAGACAGCTGGGAGGATGGAGCAGGAGAGCTGGATAGGTTGTTATGGGGCTGAGATGAGGGGGTTAGGAGAACTTTGGAGGGGGAAGATAGGTTTTGAGGGTGGATTTGAAGTTATTTTTGACAGTTTTGGGGTGGTATGGAGGTTTTGGTAATATTTCAATTTTGTTCAAAAATAAAATTTACTGTTGCTTCTCCAGAATTTTACTCAAAAATTTTAGAGGGTGATTACTAGTTTAGAGGCTGTCATAAGATCTTTTTATGATGTTTCAAGGCTTCATGGCTCCAATAACCTTTTTCTTTATATTTATCAGTTTCCTTCTTTATGAAGCTGTCTAAAATGACATTAAGAAAACTGTAATTGAATGTATTTGAAAGTCCAACTTAAAACCGAAGAACCCGCCTAATTTTGGATGCCCATATCTTAACTTTCTTGCATGCATTTACCGATTAAATCAAGAATAAACCCAATTTTTGTGTTTAGGCCAGCCCAGAGAAAATCTGAGAGCTTTAATCACTCCAAACTTATTATGAAATTTATCAATTTCTAACCTATTAATTTCCAAATAAACCTTCTTCTTAATGCCTTGCATTTCAGAGTAAAATGTAGAGAAATGGCTGCCAATCCAATCTGATAACATTGGCTTGCTCACATTCTAAAATCTTTAAGCAAAAACTCTCCTGAGGATATGAAAGGAAATGGGCCAAGGGTGGCAAGTTTAGTTGGAAAAGAATGATTAAGCTCTACTTCATCTTAACCCCCTAAATTATTGAGTGAATTTGCTATCAACGAAGGACTTAGTTTCTTTAGTTCAAAGCTTTATCGTGCTTAGCCATTGGCCTCAAGACATTTACCTTGATTCCGGACTCAATTCTCATGCTAGCACAACAAATCATAAAAATTATATGTTTCGATAACATACTGATTTTAGGCAATATTAAAAGAAGCTCCCTGAATATCTTGGATTTGTTAAGAAAAATCTTAATTTCATACTACAACAAACTGTCTTGGCAACATCGAGGCTCCGGGCCCATAAGGCTCAGAATTATTAAAGCATAAGAACATTGTTGACTATCAAATGAAAATGTCGAAAATAAGAAGTCATTGGGATCTTAGAGAACTGGACTCTTGGCAACTATATGATTGAAATATGATTTTATTTGTGGCAACTTGCAGCGAGATGAAGGCAACAGAGACCGCTTAGATGGCCTAACATAGATTTCTCCTTAGTTTAGGTTTTCCTATAAATAAAATGTTTCCTAATTACATTTTACCTAGTTATTGTATTTTAGTTCAAACTGTAAAAGAGCTGGAAGACTTAGATAAGGATATATGGAGAAGACCTAAGCTAACAACTTTCCACCACTTTTAATCAAATACACTTACAAAGGACGTCAGAAGGCTTTATTTATAGCTTCTGGTTAGGCCTCTGGAACAATATCGTACAACAAATTTTGCTGACTTCTCAAGTCTTCAGATAATATTATGTCAGGACTCCTGAACAATTTTGATGAAATTTAATGAGTTCTATAAGTAAACTTAGAGATGGCTCAAGCTTTAAGTTCTCTCCGTACTTTTTGTCCCAGAAATAACTAAAACTGCGATCGTTCGGTTTTCATCAATTGAGATTTTTTAGGAATTTAAATAACAAGTTGAGAGTAAATTTTAAGTTACCTTAAAAGAGTATTTGGACAGTCTAAAAGCAGCTTTATGAGAGGAGACATATCTCACAGATACAGTGAAATCAGATTTCTCATCTAAGTGGAGTTTACAAAGCTAGGATATTGATTGATAAACTTGTGGGACGCATGAGTAATACTTGTCAAAACTTCCTCTAACTTTAGACCTGATTTGTGACACTTGAGAGCATCTTTTGTAGATAATTGTTCCTTTCACTGAGAGAAGAGGTCCTAGATTTCTTATCGAGCCTTGTTAGGACATATTCTATCAATTTTCAATCAGCTCTGATTATCCCATTATTTAGAGCCAGAGTCTTTATTGGCAAGGATCCTGAGTGACGAATGAAATAAAAAAGGAAGTATAAAATTAGGTTTATCTAAGAAAGCATATTTATATCCAGAAATGCCAGGAGATTTCCCAGTATCCCTGACTAGCAAATCTTAAATAGTTCTTCAATCATCTTTGCTCTTTTTGTGTCCTTTTCTGCTTATAATTGAAGAGTCAAAAAATATTATAGAAAAACAGATTTAATGGCTTAAGTCCATTCTATAATAGACATTTCTATCTAATTATAACCTCATACATTAGTTCCTATCTTTATCATAAAACTGTAAATTATAAATTTTCTACTGACTTAGCCTACTAGTTAGAGCTAAAATGAATGAACACTCCATTCCAGAATGTCCCTTGAAGCCTCGGGAAGCTAAAGAGAGAAGATGAGTTGTAATTAGAAAGTTTGCAAGGAACTTTGCTTCAAATCCGTATACATTCCATAGCATATTAAAGTAGCTAGGATCCTCACTTGGAAGCCTCGGTAAAGTATTTAAGAAATTTAATTTCGATTAATCATTAATAATTTTGATCGATAAGTAAGTGAAGCTTATGAACACTTTTGTTTGGAGAGTTTGCTAAACCTCCTTCATGAAGCCAGTGCTCTCAGTTCTCTATTCATGAATAGATGAATTATCAAAGACTTGGGGATAGAGGCATTTTGGGTACTCTTAATATTGACAAAAATAAGGGACTCTTTGAAACTAGACTCTCAAATACCTCTATTCTAATGGGTTTGAACCCTATTTTCAATTTTTTAAGGCTTCTCAGATGTTTCTAAATGCAAATATTGTGGTTGATGTTTACTTCTCTTGCTCTGTTTTATATACTGTCATGGAGAAGCTCTAATGCTTGAAAAATTTACTTGAGCTGTTATTAAGTTTGCAAGTGAACTTTAGAATTTAATGATATTTAGAATAAGAAAAGAGTCTCTGAAGGGTGCAGTTAGTATTGATTTTTACCAAAACTTGCAATCATCCATTCATTTACTATCAATAATTCATAAAGAGACTATTAAAGCATGCATAAACTTTAAATCACTTGCCATGTCCAAGCTTTCTTTGCTTCTTATCTTTTACCCCTATCACATAAAATAAGATTCCCAAAATATATTCTTTTAGTGAATTAGTCTTTAGAGCAAGAGACTAAAGTGAAGTCCTATCACTACACAATATTCTGAATACCAAATGAGGCAATCTTTGTTTGCTAGTTTACTATCTATCCTCATTCTGGGTCTCTTTCATCTCAATTTTAAATGAATCGATTATTAACTTTATTTAGGAATGATTTTCAAAAGGACACAACAGTAAGTGGTGATCAATAAGCCAGCACTCCTGGGCACACAAGATACTTCAGACAGTGAACTCTCCCAAGAGTTTGGGGTACTTTTCGTTCATAATTATCTATGAACATTTTAGTTAGAGTATGGAAATACAGCTTTTGCCTTACCATAGAAGCGATGGGTCTTTTACAGTTTTATCAATGACTCCGTATGATTACTATTAACCATGCTTGAGTACATTTATTTGGTTATTAATCTATTAAGTTTATAAATCCGATTAGCTGAGACTTGTTTCTTTATTCAGATTTAAACAGGAACAATAGTGTTGGAGTCACCAATAGCATAGATGTGTAGAACTCAATTTTATAGGAGACTAGTGCAGTAGCCTCATATTTTCTTCAGCAATGCTAGTCGGTTCAAGAAGAAGCTGAGCTTAGTTATCTCTAAAAGATGGAATTTTTTATAAAGTTTTGCACAATTTGGTGTAAGCCGCATTCCATAGGAGACACTTAGCCATGATATTTTGAAGCATGGGATGACTAACAATTTTATAGAAGAACAGACACCAAATTGGCACCTCTCAATAGCATCTTCAGCAGTTCTGTGCTGATTCATGGTAAGCATATTCTAAACACAAAAATTTTGGCTATGCATAGTCTAAAACTTCTCAATTTTTATTTTTGTGATTTTATTCTCAATATGCAAATACTCTAAAGAGAGGGTTCTTTGTGGTTCAGGTTTTATGAAAATTTTAGATAGTCACCACATCTCTTCGCATTTCCCTGATCCCAATTGAATTTTTCATATTCAGTTCCAAATTATGAGGAGATAGGACTAATATTAGAGTCTTTACTTTAGTTTAATACAATAATAGTGTAGCAGAGAATGTGAATCTGCAGAAGAAGCTTTATTTGAACTTTTAAGAATAAAGTAATAGTTCTGTGCTTCAAGACTTCTGATGCCTCTTCTCGATAAAAAATTATGAATCGAATGCCAGATAAGACTTATTTGCTCTAAATACACCAAATTTTTTATTCTTAATCTAAATGTAGAAAGCCAACCAAACTCAGCATTCAAGAAGCCAAGCCAAGAATACATAACCCCAAAGACATCAACTGTCAAGTCTTCTGAACATTTTCAGCTTTTTATGGTAATGATTATTTTCTTTGTAAATGCTCTCTTAATATCATCTTTTACGTCCTATCTTGCAGTAACAAGCAGATAACTTGCTACTGCCAATGATTTTAGCACCATTAACCGATTGAAAAGCCATCCACCTTTCTTCTTGCTTACTGTTGATCTTACCTGTGATTAGGAACTGGATATGGAGTACAGCAAAGAACACTTGATGAAGCCCATGGTGGCCAGTCAAAGCAAATCCTCTTGGGCAGAACAACTTGATCTGCAATGTAAGTTTGGATTTTAGCTTCTCTTGTTATTCTTAGTTTAAATATAATGCAACTAGTCTTAAAATTTCTTCTTTGAGAGTGATCTTCAGTACTTTCCGACTGTTTCCTTTAATCCTGGTTGTTAAACTAAAGAAAGCTTGGTTTTCATTGGGCTTATTAGTGGTCAGGGTTAAGTAGTTGCTTTGAACTGAACCTCTACATGAGTTATCTTGAAAAAATTGAGTGTTGATAATAGTAGTAACATTAAATTTAACTTTATCTTTAGACTTCCAGAGTTCTGCATTTTGCTGGAAAACTCATGCACCTCTCCAAATGTCAAACAAAGGCAGAAAGCGAAGACATGTTCACAGTGCTTCCAGCATCTATGAGCTGATCTACGATTCAGTCTTGCCAAAGTGGAAGAAGTGTCTCAAGTCTAAAGCTAACAGGAGGATTCCCAAAACCTTAAAAGCTCGTCCAGACACAATCTGGAAGAAGATCTTGAGAGACGTCAGAGAATTCTACAGAATGTTGTTCAGAGCCAGATTCCACTATCTTGAATACCAGGACCAAAAAGGAGCAGTAACCTGCATCCAGATACTGTTCTCAGAACTCAATATTCCACTGAACAACAATGAAGAGTACTTGCATGGAGTTTTTAGATATCTGCATCAGTCACACAAAAGCAGGTTTCCAGGTTTGAAAGAAGATCCAACTCCTCTGGACGCAATCGAGAAGTACAATGAGCACTACAGAAGCTTGTACATGAAAGATGACTTCGGAGCAAGGCTTCTGTATTTCGTGTTTAAGAACTTCACTCCTGAGTACTGCTTACTAGTCAAGTCGAGATATCAAAGAGAGATCGCTGAGAAAGTGTGCATGCTACTAAACTGCTACAGAAGGATGAGGAAGCCGGAACATTTAGAAAGAATCGAGCACTTATTATTCTAGTTAATGGCATCATATTTCATAAATCTCATTTTTAGGTGAAGTATTCAAGTATATTTTGATAGTTCAATAGGCTGAAATAGTCTTGGGGTTTTGGGGTTTTGGGGTTTTGGGGTTTTGGGGTTTTGGGGTTTTGGGGTTTTGGGG